ATATAATAAATTAATAAATTTCTCTTTTTTTTTCTTAATATTTATTTATTAAATGAAATTCAATAAAGATTTTCAATTTATTTTTTGATGAATATTGAAAAAAAATAATGTTAGTTCAATGTAATTTTGTGATTGAAATCCAAGACGTCTATAAATAAGTATCATGTTTTGTTGTTTGTCCGTTTTGTTGAAGCAATTGTCGTGATAATTGAATTTCGCTGTTGTGTGTAGGAAGCAAAAAATTGTAGCATGAGAAATGCAGCCGACTCGGATTGTCACAATTGACAATTGTTTGGTAAATGAGTTTTAAAAAGGAACGAATTAGACGTGAAAAGAGGCGACCTCTGTCAAGTGGAGACTTCCTCCGTTCCTTCTGATCCATTGTCCTACGAGAATTTCATCTAAATCAAAGAAAATAATAAAAAGGAAGAGATGAAAGGAATATAACTTTCTTACAATGTTCGTGATTAATGAAGAAAAAAAAAAGCGTTTATGTTGAACATTTGCATTTCATTAGAATATTTAATGAACTTAAGCTTGATTTGTAACGCGTTTAATTAATTGCTAACGTAATCATTGAGTGATGTCAACTGTATTTTTATTATTTGCTGTAAGCGTGTAAACAAATGAAACTACATAAATTTACTTATTTTTTTATCAAGTTTTGAAGCAAATTTAATTGCAACAACTAATAAATTACATGAAAATTACAAAATCTAAGGTATCAATTAAACATACGTTTAATTGTAAAGATCAAATTTTGAATACGAACTAGATTTCTATGGAAACGCGATTTGAAGTAGGCAACCCAATTAACAAGGAATAAATAATATTTATTGAAATTTATAATTCCTATTTTTATATTATAATATTGGCAATACCATTACACAATTTGACACATAACATAAGTTACGTAATGTTAATTATGTAACACAGAAACGACGTTTCTTCTTGAATTGCTCGAGAACCGCGAATACTCAAATTAAAGTTGAAAATCTCACCTTTCCAACGAGCCTGATATAATTACATAATTCAATAAGAATCGTGAACTGGAGATTGCCACCTTTCGAATGAACTGAAAAAAATTGTAGCATCTTTATTTCGACTTTCAGATATAATGAAAATTATATTTTATGTAGTATTTTCTCGTATTGAATTATGATTACAATAGGCAACCAAAAATATACTATGCGTAAGTATAGTTGCAGGACAAACCTTGCGCCATTGGCCAAACCAAACCATTGGCCTGCTGTCATTGGTTGATAGCTACTGCTATCATGTATTTCCTTCTGCAACAAAAATATACTATACGTAAGTATAATTGCAGGACAAACCTTGCACCATTGGCCAAACCAAAACATTGGCCAGCTGTCATTGGTTGATAGCTACTGTTATCATGTATTTCTTTCTGCAATCAAAAATATATTATGCGTAAGTATAGTTGCAGAACAAACCTTGCACCATTGGCCAAACCAAACCATTGACTTGCTGTCATTGGTTGATAGCTACTGTTATCATGTATTTCCTTCTGCAACAAAAATATACTATGCGTAAGTATAGTTGCAGGACAAACCTTGCACCATTGGCCAAACTAAACCGTTGGCCAGCTGTCATTGGTTGATAGCTACTGTTATCATGTATTTCCTTCTGCAACTTCTGAATACAGAATGAATAAGGAACGTGCCCTATTGTTCACTGTTGCTTTCTCGTGATTTGACTAACTCATCTTACAAAAAATATAATTCTCTCCGAACATATATCTGTGCAACATGTAAACTAAAGTATACTAAACTTATTATTGTTTCAGGTGGAGATGCTAGTAGATAGATGAATGTGAATTTCATTTCCTTTAGTTCCTCAGATAGTGCGAAGCATTGTTTAGAACACGAGATGGAGTTTTCATTTGCAATAAGTGATTTTTCTTGAATACAACAATCTTTATTGAATGTAATTACATTTATTGTATACTGAAATTAAAGCTGAAAGTCTCACCTTTCCAACGAGTCATTTCTCCTGATAACCGTTCGTCTGCTAAGAGGTGTCAAAACTGTCGTTGCTGCAACCCAATTCGCACGTAAGTATGTTTTGGTTGCAAATATTAATATAATTATAGATATATGTTCTATAAATTATTATTATTCAGAAAATACAATTATTTTAGTCATGAATATAAAATTATTCAAGTCTAACATAAATTAAAAATGTAGCCTAACATATTTTTAATTCAGTATATTTGCTAATTATCTATTATCATTTCTGGATAATTATTTTGAAAAAAAAAATAAACAAAAAGAATCATGTTTACAATTAATGATATCTTCTAACGTCATCGAAATTCTTATAAAAATCACTAAGTCAAATATAAATAGATTTATCTGATACAAAAACGTTCAGTAATATTTATATCTCAAACTCAACAAGATGTTCGTTATTATATTTCTTGCATTGGTGCTGTTTCTAATATACAAGTGCATCACCAAAAATTTCGATTATTGGAAGAAAAGAGGAATCCCTTATCTCGAGCCGAGTTTCCCATTCGGAAACGTTTTTCCTTGTGTGATATTCAAGAAATCTTACTCGCACTTATTGGCGCAATTCTATAATTCTTCCAAAGAATCCTTAGTCGGCTACTGGATCTTCAACATCCCGTTTTTGATGATCAGAAGCCCTGAACTGATCAAAAATATAATGGTCAAAGACTTTGATCACTTCAATGAACGCGCTTCATCCAACAACAAAGTTAAAACGTTTTTCAGCGACACGCTTTTCTCTTTGGATTACCACGACTGGAAACTTCTGAGGACGAAACTCTCACCATCATTCACAACGTCGAAGATGAAGAACGTCATGCACATCTTCAATAAATCTTCGAAAGAAATGATCGAATATTTGGATGAAGTTTCTGGAGATGCTGTCGATTGTAAGCAGATTTCGAGTCTGTTGACGGCGAACGTTTTCGCAGCTAGCACATTCGGTTATAAAATAAATTGCTTTAAAGATGTTGACAACGAGTTCTTCGTTTATTCGAAGAAGATAATGGTCCCGACTGTTGCAAATTTAGTTAGATTTATAGCTTTCTTCGTTGTGCCCGAAATGGCGGATTTCTTCAGAATCAAATTGTTCAAGCAGAGCGTTTTGGACTTTTTCAGGCATCACTTCAGAAATGTTCTGCGGGTACGAGAAGAATCCGGGGAGAAGTGTAACGATTTCATTGATGGTTACGTCCAGTTGAAGAAGGAAGGAAATTTGGGTGATGGTTTCATTTTCGGTATGTGCAACTATCAATAATACTAGTAATATATAATTTGTGAGTTAAAATTTGTAGATGAAGACAGGCTGGCGGCTCAAGCTATACAATTCTTCTTGGCCGGTTTCGAAACTACCAGCTCTTTGATTTCATTCACTCTCTACGAATTAGCCATGAACGAAGACATTCAGAGCAAGTTACGAAATGAAATAACCGATGCTTTAGCTCTTGAAGATGATGGCGACTTCAGTTACGAGAATATCATGGATCTAAGCTACTTCAACAAAGTTATGTCAGGTAAATAATTTCTTTAATTTCTCACCAAAAAAAAAGGAAAATTTCAAACTTGTTTTTAGAATCGTTAAGGAAATATCCAACACTTCCCCTCATAGACAGAAAGTGCGTCAAGGATTACCGAATCCCAGGAACCGATATTATTATAGAAAAAGAAACCAGATGCCAAATCGGCATTCTCGGATTACACAATGATCCTGAATTCTATCCAAATCCTGAAACTTTTGATCCTGAAAGATTCTCACCTGAAAACGTAAAAACTCGTCCTTCGCACGTCTACATTCCATTTGGACATGGACCTCATAATTGTATAGGTAATAATAAAAAAAATAATTCCATTTTCATTGCAACTTCACACAGAGAACTTATGCTAGCCAACATTTGAAGTTTAAATGAAATATAATTACTGTAAAATTGTTGTTGTTGTAGGAAAAAGATTTGGTTTGTTGACTGCAAAAACTTGCATCGCCCAAACCTTAACGAAATTCCGGATTTTACCCACTGAAAGCACACCGAAACGTATCGAAATCGACAGCAAAGAGTTTCTGATCAAACCCAAGGATGTTTTCTTAAAATTTGAAAAGCTATAGTCTGGCTGTCTCTGTGTAGTGAAGACAAACGGGATTACTAACAGTTCTTTATTTACAAAATCTGCAAAAAGTTTGAAGAAATACGTTTAGCTACAATAAGTGAGATCATTAAGTTATCTGGATAAATATTGTCAAGATTGTATACAACTTATTCGATAGAAAATGATTGAGATTATGAAAAAAGCGGAGATTTAAGAACTGATGAAGTGAATTCGTTCTGGCTAATAAAAAAATCTTTGTATGCAAAGTTAGAAATTTTAATCAACTATATTTTTTTTCATTTTATCCTATAAACTTTTGCCATTTTCCTGGAAAATTCATGATTCCGTGCTCGTAAAACTCGTGGTCCTTATCAGCAAAAAACTGAACCAAATGGAATTTCAGGTCATAAAAATTAGTGAAATAGTCTTATTTGAAATAAATGATAATTTGACGATACAAGGTCAAGGCTATAATTTTCCACGAATTTGAGGATTTGCATTGTTTTGGTGAAACAATTTTGCCAATTTTTCTGTGATTGCTTCCAACATTTTCATTACTTGTCGACAGTAAACGTCTGAATTAATAAAATGATCTTTTATGATGATATTAAGCTTTTGATGATTGTTTTCGATTGATTTTGTTATAGACAATCAATTTTTCATAACTAGTGATGATTTGTTTAAAACAAAGCGACGATTTCATTGCTTTTAAGATGGAAATTGCAAATAATTGATTCGTTGTTTTAAGTGAATCGTTATCAAGATTCTTAATCATCAAAATCTTAAAGTAATTCCAAATTTACACCAAAATGTATCGAAATAAAGTTTGTAAAACTATAGTAGTCTGTGTATAAATATATTTATATTAATTAGAAAGGAAATGGCTTTTTTATAATGTAAACAATAGATATTCTTTCTGATTACTTTTATTAATTGCATTAAATGTGCATATCCAAAACAAAATGTATTCGTAAAAAACAAATTCTTGTTTACAACTTGATTATATATTTTTAAAGTTTGCTCAAATCATTGTTTTTAATGAACCGTGATAATCTCATAACGATTAGTAATCGTCATATATAAATTATAAATTTTGATGCAAAAATGTTCAGTAATAATTCGAAGTCAATTCAATTAAAGCCTTTTTAAATACAAAAAAAAAAACACTAAGTGAAAAAATGTTCTTCATTATATTTCTTGGATTCGTGCTAGTGTTACTATACTTATACATCACCCAAAATTTCGATTATTGGAAGAAAAGAGGAATTACTTATTTGGAGCCAAGTTTCCCATTTGGAAACATTTTCCCTTTGGTTGTCTTCAAGAAATCTTACGCGGATTTAATGGCGCAATTCTACAATTCCTCCAAAGAATCCATCGTCGGCTTTTGGATCTTCAACATCCCGTTCTTGTTAATCAGAAGTCCTGAAATGATCAAAAATATATTCGTCAGAGATTTTGATCACTTCAACGAACGTGCTTCATCCAACAACAAACTCGACCCGTACTTCAACAATACTCTATTTTCTTTGGATTTCCACGACTGGAAGATTCTGCGGACAAAACTCTCACCATCATTTACAACTTCGAAATTGAAGCACGTCATGCACATCTTCAATAAAGCTTCTAACGAAATGATCGAATATTTGGATCAAGTTTCTGGAGATGCTGTGGATTGTAAGCAGATTTCCAGTCGATTAACGGCGAACGCTTTTGCAGGCTGCGGTTTCGGTTATAACATAAATTGTTTTAATGATGTTGATAACGAGTTTTTAGTTTACTCCCAGAAACTTTTAGCACCGACCGTAGCGAATTTCGTTAGACTTGTGGGTTTTTTCGTTGTGCCTGAAATTGCGGCTTTCTTTAAAATCAATATGTTCAAGAAGAGCAATTTGGACTTTTACAGGCATCACTTTTTTAAGGTTCTGAAGGCGCGCGAAGAGTCTGGCATGAAGAATAACGATTTCATTGATTCTTACGTCCAATTGAAGAAGGAAAGAGATTTGGGCGATGGATTTATTGTAGGTAAGTAATTTATGATCTATTTGTTTATAATATCTTTAAATTGAAAATATTGTAGATGAAGATAGCCTTTCTGCTCAAGCCATACAATTCTTCTTAGCTGGCTACGAAACTACAAGCTCTTTGATCTCATTCACACTCTACGAATTAGCCATGAACGAAGATATCCAACAAAACTTAAGGCACGAAATTGTCGATGGTTTAGCTGCTGAAGAAGATGGTAACTTTAGTTACGAGAAGATCATGGATCTAAGTTACTTGAATAAAGTCATATCAGGTAATTTATTTAATTACTTTCTTCTAAAAACGTATTTTTTTAACTTCTTTTTATAGAATCATTGAGGAAATATCCGACACTTCCTCTCATAGACAGAAAGTGCGTAAAGGATTACCAAATCCCAGGAACCAAAATTATTATTGAGAAAGGCACCAGATGCCAA